GTAAGTGGATCGCGACGGCGCAGAGAGAGGCGATATGAATCCTCCTGGTGTCGTCTCATTGTGTCCTACGTGTCCATTTGTTTCCAGCTGGCATTTACCATGTGCCGTCGTCCACCCTCTGTGACCTATGTACTGTCCAGCTGATTTATGACCGCGGCTTACCGTGTTTGCTCTAAAAGCCATCAGTATTGAATATATATTGCTATGAATGTATTATCCCCGACTGCATTTTGAACAGCTTTCTACCGCATTGCTGTGTTTAGTAATCTGTGTGAGTCCTGTGGCTAACCAGCTGTGAGCTTTGGTATTGAATTAGTCGTGTAATGTTTGGGTAATATCACTAGAATATTCGTTTTCTTTTTTTCTTTTTTTTTGTATATTAATTGTACTACACAGACAGACAGCGTTTTTAAAACATGCATTATATATAAAGTAATGAAAATAAGATCAAGGAAGATGGTGATAATAATCTATCATATAGACCAAAGATAAGATAAGATACCGCTGAAACAATGCAAATTATCATTATTTTCATTATAATCATTGTCATTATTATAAACATTATCATTAGCAGTAGTAGTAGTAGCATTGGCAGAAGAAGTGGAAGTAGTATGGTTATTATCAATATTATTATTACCATAATCATTTTCATTGTAATCTTTATTATTATCATTATCATTGTCATTATCATTACTATCATTATTGTTATTACTTTTATCATTATCACTGTTATCATTGTTATTATTATCATTATTATTCTTATCGAAATTGTTATCATTAGTAGTAGTAGTAGTATCAAAATTGTTATTATTATCATTATTAACATTATCATAATCATTATTATTATTATAATAATAAAAATAATCCTCATAATAATAATAATGATAAAGATAATATCATTATTAATAACATAAAAAATAATATTGACAATAATACTAATATTAATAATAACAACAACAACAATAATAATAATAACAATAATAGTAATAATGATGATAATAATAATTATAATAATAATAATAATAATAATGATAATAATAATAATAATAATGATGATAATAATAATAATAATAATAATGATAATAATAATAATAATAATAATAATAATAATAATAATAATAATAATGATAAAATAACAATAACAACAGTAAAAACAATGATAATAATGATTATGATGATGATGATGTTGATAATGATAATGATAATGATAATAATAACAATCAACAACAACAATGACAGTAATAATGATAATAATAATAATAATAATAATAATAATAATAATAATAATAATAACAATAATAATAACAATAATAATAGCAATAACAATAATAGTAATAACGATAACAATGATAATAATAATAATAATGATAATAATAATAATGATAAAAATAGTAATAATAATAACAATAATAGTAATAAGGATGATAATAATAATGATAATAACAATGATAATGATTTTAATGATTTTTATAATGATAATGATAGTAATGATAATAATAATGATAATAATAATAATAATGATAATAATAATAATAATGATAATAATAATGATAATAATAATAATAATAATAATAATAATAATAGTAATAATAATAACAATAATAATAATGATAATAATAATAATAATAACAATAAAGATAATAACAATAATAATTATAATAATAACAATAATAAAAATAATGATATTGATAATAATAAAAGTAATAATAATAACAACAATAATTTTTATCATTACTATTATCATTATTATTATCATCATTATTATTATTAACATTATTATAATTATCATTATTATTATTATCATTATTATTATCATTTTTATTATTATAATTATTAGTATCATTGTTATCACTATAGCAAAATGAAAATTATAATAGTAGTAACCATAATAATAATAATAAAAGATATAAAAACAATAACAATGATAATAATAATAAAAGATATAAAAACAATAACAATGATAATAATAATAATAATAATAATAATAATAATAATAATAATAATAATAATAATAAAAATGATAATAATAATAATAGTAATAATAATAATAATAATAATAATAATAATAATAATAATAATAATAATACCAATAATAGTAATAATGGTAATGATAATGATAATAACAAAAATAATAATAATACTAATAATTATGATGATAATATTAATAGTAATAATAATAATAATAATTTTACTAACAATAATAATAATAATATTGAACACTAATAATAAATGAGACTTATGATTGTCATAACGATAGCAAATAATAATAACAAAAGCAACGATAATAGCAATAATATTGTCAAGACTGTAAAGAAATCTTGGTGAAAACACTACAGCTATATTTACAACGACCGTGATTTCAGCTGCAAGAACAGATCGCCCATAATATTCACGAAAAAGAAATACTTTGTGTATCTAATTTCGCTTTTTTATGACAAGACAAAGAAGGAAATAAACTACAACGAAATGCATTCAGACCAAAGACCTATCGCATCCGGGGAAGTTCGAACGAGACAGCCAAGACTCGAAACGAAATCTCCTGCCTCGGTCGACCTTTTTTCTCCGTCCTTGTGTAGAATGGAAAACGGCTATTTGTTTAGTTAATGGCCGCTTGGTGTTATCCTCTATAACTCACGTCCCGCCCGTGCCAGCCGCATAAACCTTTTTTTTAAGGGGGTGAGGGCGAGACTGCAGTGCCGTTTGGCCGGCCGTCAGATCGTCCTTGGAGGAGATTAAACACTGAGGGAGGTGGGAGGTTCGAAGCGTTCCGAACCAACCGATTCGGTCTTTTCTCGGATGAGTTGGATGGAGTTGAGGTTATAGTTTTTTGTTGTTGTTTTTTTAAGTTGTTTTAACTGAACCGACTTGAAGTGAAGCAAAATGAAGTGATCCTTGGGAGACCTGAACTAAACTGAAACAAACCTATTTCGAGTAAAAAGGAACCAAACTGGCCCTTCTTTGGCGAGCAAAACCGAATCTTCATAGTCGAACCAACCCGACTCAAACCTTCTCTGACAAACCGAACCAAAATAAACCCTGCTTTCTTAAACGAGTCGAATCAGGGCGAGACGAACTCTCCGATATAAAGCTGAGTAGAGCATACCAAGTTATCTTAATATGTACGAAAATAAGGAAAGAAAGAAAAAAACAGAACAGTATAAGAAGAACGCAGCAGTGGCCATTAGTAACAGTAGACTCTATAGTGTTTACTGCCCCTTAAAATATTTGTTCCTTTTATTTGTCCAGAGACGCCTCAAAGATCCCGTCTAGGTAACGAGCAGAGACGTCGTACAAAGAACCGTTTTTTTCTCATTCTTATTCTTTTTTGTGCTTTCTTATTGTTGTATTTCTTTTTCTTTTTCTTCTTTTATTACTACTGATGGTACTACCTACTACTTCTACTATTACTACTATTACTACTACTGCTTCTATTACTACTACTACTACTTTTGCTGCTACTTCCACTACCAATACATCTACTACTACTACCTCTATTACTACTACTACTACTACTTCTACTACTACTACTACTACTGCTGCCGCTTCTAATACTACTACTACTCCTACTCCTACCACTACAACTGCTGCTACTAAGACTTTTACTGTATTGCTGATAAAAAAAAGACAGGATTTTGAAAATATATAAATAATTTCTTCTTTCACTATTTTTTTTTCTTTCTTATGTTCTTGCTTTCTTTCTGTTCCACTTTTCGTTTTACTGTTCTTCATTCTCCCTTTCTTTTCCTCTCTTCGTAACATTTAACTGCCCGAACTGATCCCGAATACATCACGATTGTCGCAAAATCTGTACCTGAATTCATTGAGTCTTTGTGTAAAGTCTCGGAAAATAGAAATTTACGATCCGGCAACCCCAGCGTGCAGCCTGAGTATTAACTTCTCTGAAAATGGTCATATATTAGAAGGGTCCATGTTACTCCCTTGGTATAAATTAAGTGCAAAGTCGTTTTACTTAAATGGCGCTCTCTCTCTCTCTCTCTCTCTGTCTATCTACCTCTATCTATCTATCTCTATCTATATATCTCTATCTATCTATCTCTATCTATCCATCTATCTGTTCATCTATCTATTTATCTGTCTGTCTGTCTATTTATTTATCTGTCTATACATCTGTCTATTTATCTATCTGTCTGTCTGTCTGTCTGTCTCAATCTCTCTCTCCCTCTCTCTCTCTCTCTCTCTCTCTCTCTCTCTCTCTCTCTCTCTCTCTCTCTCTCTCTCTCTCTCTTTCTCTCTATTTATCTATCTGTCTATCTATCCATCTATTTCTTGCTCCCATTTTCTTGTCCTCATTTCCTTACTCCCTCACTCCTTCACCATCTCCCCACACTGTCATGTCCTCACCATTCTCACTCGCCCTCACACCCTCACCCTCATCTTTCCGCTCCCCACAATGGTCTCCTCACTCCCCACTCCCTCACTATCCTTCCACTGCTTACTCCTCCTTCTCCACTCCTCACTCCCCACTCCTCACTCCCCACTCCTCACTCTCCACTGTCAGTGCCCCACCCGCAACTCCTGACTCCCTAGACTTAACCCATTAATCTCCATGCTAACTCATCTCCCCCCCCCTCACTCCATTCCCCCACTCCCCTCTCCCCCTTTCTCAACTCATTCATCTTTATCTTCCGTCCGCAACCCCCTCCCCCTCCTCCCCCTCCTTCTCTCTCTCTCTCTCTCTCGCCCTTTTTTTGAATTGGTAAAGATTCAACTGTCCGTTGCTGTGAGCGTACACGTCACATTATTCCCGACCAATAAGCGTTCGTTCTCCACTCGAGGATTCGTGACGTCACGCTCCCTATCTTTCGAGCCTTCTAAAGAAAAACCTAGGATGGTGTCGTTAATCCTGACATACACGGTGTACTATATAGTAGTTAGGATCCACCCCCCCCTCTCCCCGCACATGAGAAGATCGAGGAGATTCATCCTTCTCCGCCAGTATTCGGAACGATGATGTCATCAACGATCTTGATGACGTGCCG